ACTCACCTGGCTGCTGGAAATTCAATCCTTGAGCTTTGCTGGTGTCACMACATGATTAAAACCCTCATGCAGATGCTCCATTTGTCACTGCTTTGGTAGGATCTAAACCCTCTGTGTAGTCAGCAGCTGCCTGTGCCATCGAGTTCTGCTGCACAAACTGCCTGTGCCCAAATTCAGCTTTCCTGCCTGCCCTAATCAAATGGAAACTGCTTTGTCTGGACATCCTAAAACRCCCAAATTCCAATGATAAGAATCTTCTCACGTGCCAAATTTGRTCTTGATTTGGAATTACTTTGCACTGCACTAATTTGATTGTCCAATCAGTGATTAATCCTGTGGAGTTCTCAGATGTGCTTTCTTGCTGTAATCTTACAACTAATCCTCTGATCCCTAATCTCAGAAAATGTTGTTTTCTTTTGAAAAAAACTGAGTACTTTGCTTGGTCCACTGAAGCCAGACTGATGCTTTGCTGATTTTTAAGGTATTGTTTAATTGTCAAATTGCATGTGATAACATAATACTGCATTTTTTTTCATGTGGTACTGTTTATTTTATTGTAATCTTTTAACTGTGAAAATAGAATTGTGTCACTTCTCAGGCTACTTAAGTATTGCAGTTGCCCAATTTGAGTTTGGCTGGACAATAAAAGCTTTTYATGACTGTAAGAGTGGGGAACTTCTGAAGTTTAAACTAAAAAAGCTCAAAAAAACCCTCCCTATCTAAAGCTGGTCTCATCTCTAGTGAAGATGTTTTATTTAAAGATGAGCTCACATTGGAAAGAGCATCAATCTTGAGCAATTAATTAATTTGTGTTGCAAATGTGGGGTTGTTGAGGAATTTTGGTGGAAATCCCAGGTGCCTTCACAGAATGTTTTAAGGAATTTAATTAGTAAGAAATATAATTATTAGGAGTACTTTTWTTGTATTTATTTATTATTTTATTGTGAGCTGCCAGGCTGATTTCATGTGCTCAGATCAGCATTCATCCCCACTGAAGAGCTGAAGCAAAGTCATGCTATTCCCAAAATAGCCAAACTGAGGTTTTTTTATTCTTTTACTCATAATGTTCTCAAAAAGGAAATCATMATGAAATTTTGAAGTCCTTTATTTYGAAAATTCCCTTTGCCTCTCATGCTTTTTTTTTGTCTTTAAGAGACAAAAACAATTGTGAAAACTTGTAAAATTTCGTTGTGTTTTTTGATTTTCTGTGAGAATCCCCGGGGAGCAATTTTCTGATAGGTTTTGCTAAGAAGGGAAGTATTTTATCTGCTTTGTGATAGCAAATTTGTTATCCCAAAGGGTCAGTACCAACTGCCTTTTAACCAAACTCACAAACACAAGTGTCTCCTGCTTTGTACAAGRAATAAATTCAGTGTTTGAGTAGTTCCTGATGTGACCTCTGGATAATCCACGATCCTTTCCCTTTCTCTCACTATGATCCAGGCAATGTCCCTTCCCCAAATGCACCTTTGAAAAGGGTTTTGGCTTACACTGGCTGCTTCAGTCGCATGCAAACCATCAAAGAGATCCACGAGTACCTATCCCAGAGGTTACGGATCAAAGAGGAGGACATGCGCCTCTGGCTCTACAACAGCGAGGTATTTTTTGATTTTGGACATTATTCCTTTCCAGAAACCATTAAATAACACATACACAGAAAAATCAGAGTGGTCATAAATACCCTTTGCAGTTATTTTTTTTTGCTGTTTGTTTTTCAGAGCTTTTCATGCTTTAATTTTGAGGTTAAAGTGTCCTCAGAGTGTTGTGCATGCAGAACTCTAATTCTCTGATGTATTTTCTACTCCTGCAGAATTATCTCACTTTGCTGGATGATGAAGATCACAGACTGGAATATCTTAAAATCCAAGATGAGCAGCATTTAGTCATAGAAGGTATAAAAATTGGTTATAATTAGTTTATCCACTAAAAATAAAAGTTTACAGAGTGAACCTATGGGGAGATTGTGGCAAAGCTAATTTAGGAAACTTTGCATGTATTTTGTCCCTATTTTGAAATACATTTGGATCTTTTGTTGGTTTGCAACAACAAAAAGCATTAATGRACTGGTTTTGTTAGACCTGGTGGATCCTTACTGAGCATTAGAATAAACACTGAAAAATTTGCTGTTCAACAGCCAACAATCCCAAAGCTGCTTTCTAAAGATGTTCCTGGTGTGGTTGGAGASATGCCAGCATTAGAATGAGTTCCAATAATGATGAGAAACATTGAAATGAAAACCAGCAAAAATAATAACTAAAACAGAGCAAATTTCTAATGCCAAATATTAGAAAATTTTAATTAAACCTCTTCAGCTGTGTAAGCTCTCTGGAGTAAGTAATTTTTTTTTWAAAAAACCCTTTTTATTTCCCTTTCTAGTTCGAAACAAAGACATGAGCTGGCCAGAAGAGATGTCTTTTATAGCAAACAGCAGTAAAATAGACAGACACAAAGGTGAGTCTTTCACAGAGCCACTGAATTATGATGAGAAGGAAAATCCAAGAGTGTATTATGTTGAAACAATTCTTTTAACACAAATCCTCTTAACATTGGGTGARGGCTTTTATTCTGCTTTACTTGGTTTTTGTATTAACTTTTAAATGCTGGGAATGTGGGATGTAGAGATAAAATTGGAGATGTTCAGACACAGCTTTGGTAAATGGTACACAGCACATTTTTAATTTTTGTTTATTGCCTTGGATTTTTTTTAAGGTGAGGAATAGTTAAAATTTAAATGAATTAATCCAGAATTTTCAATACCATAATTAGCTGTAAACATTTTTTATGGATTGTACTCTGTCTGTGATGGATCAGGTCAACAAAATCCCTCAATTTCTGTGAAGCAAAGTTGACAGAGCAAATATTTTAAACGTCTGCTGCATCTGTAGTGTCCTAACTAGGAGCAGCTTAAATTCAGTGTGAAGATCCTGCTACAACATTCTCAATTTTCTCTCTCTGCTGTTTTTTTGCTCAGTTCCCACTGAGAAAGGTGCTACAGGACTGAGCAATCTGGGGAACACGTGCTTCATGAACTCCAGCATCCAGTGTGTGAGCAACACTCAGCCCCTGACACGCTACTTCATCTCAGGAAGGCACCTCTATGAGCTCAACAGGTAATAAATTTTTTAAAATTCAGGCTGGCTGCTTCTAAAAGCTGCAATTCAGTGCGAAGGAATGATTTTAATTCAGTGATAGCAGCTCTGCAGCAGATACCACATTAGAGGTGTGGAAATACAACTTTTTTCTGCTTCATCTGCAGGCTCAAGCTGTGTTTAAATTTTAATATTCCTTTCAATTCTTTGTAATTCCCAGGACAAATCCCATAGGAATGAAAGGACACATGGCCAAGTGCTATGGGGATTTGGTTCAGGAGCTGTGGAGTGGCACCCAGAAGAACATTGCCCCCTTAAAACTGCGGGTGAGTTATTCCATGGAGAAAACGAGGTTTTCTTGGAAGAGCAGAAATTCTGTGTCCTTTTTTCCTGGTTTTTATTGTGTTGTGGCAGTTTGGGGACTCAGGGTCTCCCTACAGAAAGGGAAAGGCCCAGTGTTCATCAGTCCTGGTGGAATTTGTGATTATTGCTTTTAAGGCCAAAGAAATTTTGTTTCCTTTTTTTCCTGATTTTTCCTATGTTGTGGCAGTTTGGAGACTCAGGGTCTCCCCTAGAGAAAGGGAAAGGGCACAGTGTTCATCAGTCCTGGTGGAATTTGTGATTATTGGTTTTAAGGCCAAAGAAATTCTGTGCCCTTTTTTCCTGATATTTCCTGTGTTGTGGCAGTTTGGAGACTCAGGGTCTCCCCTACAGAAAGGGAAGGGTCCAGTGTTCATCAATCCTGGTGGAATTTGTGGTTATTGGTTTTAAGGCCAAAGAAATTCTGTGCCTTTTTTTCCTGTTTTGTGGCAGTTTGGAGACTCGGGGTCTCCCCTAGAGAAAGGGAAGGGCTCAATGTTCATCAGTCCTGGTGGAATTTGTGATTATTG